CATGCTGTATACACAGACTTTACAAAGGCTTTTGACCAGGTAAATCACAAGATTTTAATCAATAAGTTGAGGAGTCTGGGTATCCAGGGTGAACTTTTAGAATGGTAAAACTGAAAGAATACAAATAGTATGTATTCAGGGTTTTCAATTGTTTGAGATTAAGGTACTTTCAGGAGTACAACAAGAATCACACCTAGGACCTCTTCTACTCAATAACTATGTTAATGACATTGCCTCCTGTTTCCTCTTTGCTTCTGTCCTAATATTTGCTGACGATTTAAAATTATATTTGAAAATTGAGAATGATGGTGACTATCAAAAACTACAGTCTGATTTGGATCGGTTGAGCTATTGGTGTGACAGCAACGGAATGGAACTTACTGTTAAATAGTGTAATTTAATAGTTTTTGGTCGGAATAAAACTCCTACAAATCATATCTATACTATCAATGGTTGCTGTTTAGACTCTGTTTCTCAGATAAAAGACCTAGGTGTTGTGTTCAATTCCAGCTTTTCCTACATCCCCCATATCTCATCTGTTGTCTCAAAATCACTTTAACTTTTAGTGTTTATCAAATGTTGTGCTAAAGACTTTTTAAACATCCCATCCATAAAACTTGTGTATTGTTCACTTGTGAGACCCCACCTAGATTACTGTTCATGTGTTTGGTCTCCTCACTATATTCAAGCTATTGAGAGACTTCAATACAAATTCTTAAGATTTGTTGCATTTAAACAAAACCAGAAGATTGAAGAAATTAACTATTCAAATATGGGAATGTCCCTCAACATAACTTGTCTCCAAATACGAAGCATGCACAAGGATCTCACTATGTTTTATAGTATACTGCACTCTATTTTTGGTCCTCAACTATTGGAAAAAATTAATCTCCATGTTCCCAGTAGACAAACAACGCTAAATCAACCCTTTTATATATGTTAGACCTCATCTCACAAACTACGGACTCAATGCATACACAACTAGAACACCAGATTTGCTAATCATTATTCCCAAAGGTTGGATTGTTATAGTAATCCAAAAGAATTTAAAGCTCAGCTTAAGAACTGTGTATGATAGCTTAATGTCCTTCTGTTTTGTACATTCTTTGTTAATGTTTGTTATTTACTGCTCCAACTTTTATTTTTTGCATGATTAAAATTTTTAAATTTAATTTAAGTAGGTAGGTTACATTAAGAATCAACTGTAATTTATCAATAATGTTTACATTGCATTTTAATTGGGCGATTGCCTTTTGATAAATAATTAAATAAATAAATATGTTTATATTGATGAATATGGTATTAAACATAAAAAAGAAGGGAACAATCAAATTTACTTACATCAGATTTAATTTCATTGTCAGATAAGCATTTGATGACTTGGAGTAATGTCTCACACCAAGCAGCTGCCACAACAGGATCTTTACTCTCTATACCTTGAAAAACAGGCCGCATCAAGTTTAAATCAAGTTTCATTTCAATAAGGATTTTAAAAATGTTGCTGGTGGCCAAATGAAATTCGGAGGATGTATTGATAGGAAGTTCTTGTTGAATCTTCGGTATGATTCTTGTGAGAGTTCCATTGCGATCTTTTTGCAATAAGGATGGTAGTGAATGAATAACACTTAGTTTTTGGATATCATCCCCTTTCCTGTAAAATTATTGGTTTGATTACATGATACAATATACACATATAATAATGTGCAGATAGGATTATAAAAAAAACTCCTTAAAAGTCCTTATGCAAACAGATATTTTTCTTTTAACATCAATAATGACTTGGTAGGACTGAAAATCTCTACTTTAGGATTGCCGCAATTTGATTACATGATACAATATATACATATAATAATATGCAGATAGGATTATAAAAAAACTCCTTAAAAGTCCTTATGCAAACAGATTTTTTCTTTTAACATCAATAATGACTTGGTAGGACTGAAAATCTCTACTTTAGGATTGCCGCAATTTGATTACATGATACAATATATACATATAATAATATGCAGATAGGATTATAAAAAAACTCATTAAAAATCCTTATGCAAACAGATATTTTTCTTTTAACATCAATAATGACTTGGTAGGACTGAAAATCTCTACTTTAGGATTGCCACAAGAAGTATCCTTAGTCCACTACTTTATCTCATATAAACAAAAGAATTGAACAATTTGGTGTTGCTTCTAGATAACACTACCCTCTCCTATTGAATTCTATCCTCACCTCCAAGGAGTATGGCTTAATCATAGTAAACCTGAGTACCAGAGATTGGGCAACTAAACCCCTGTGCAAGGTAGAGTTCTAGCTGATGAGGAAGAGAGAAACTTAACAAAAGCCAAGGTGTGATCAACCATTCTGAGGACTAAATTGCTGGTTAGTTACCAGTCACTAACAGGGACCTCCGAAAACAAAGCAACATTCGGTTGTAACTAGCTTTACTTAAAAGCCAGGGTATCTGGTAATTGGTGGCATAGACAGTGGTAGTGTACTATCTGCTACTCCACAAATTTATCTCCACTACTTTTTTTGTCACTGTGATTAACAATATTGTTTAGAACATTTTCACATTGCTCTTTCTTTTTGCTTCTAAATGTCCTTTTTTCTTCTGGCCAAAGGTTTTCATAATCTTCCAGAGTTAATCTCATTCTTTGTAGCTGGAGTCTCTTGTATGCTTCATTTTTGTAGATAGATTTACATGCTTCATTGAACCAATATTAATTTCTTCTGACCTAGTTAGATTTTAAAACACCTAGAGCTGCTATGTGCATAGCTTCTTTACATTTAACCCAGTATTCTTATACGCTTAGATTTTCTTTGATTTTTGATAATGCTTTGTTTAAAATTTTCAAGTAATTATATCTAGCAGTTTCCAATGTTAGCACCCCAGTATTATATTTCATAGATTTTCTTCTTCCATTTTCTTTGATATATACTTCAGGTCAACTACATTAAAGCTTCAATTAAACGGAGTCCAAGTTGAGAAAGTTCACAAAATGACATATTTGGGAACTGTGATAACTGACCAACTAGATCGAGATATAGAAATAAAACATAGAACAGCAATAACTAAAACTACTTTTATGAAAATGAAGTCATTTCTTTGCAATAACCATTTCAGTTTAGAACTAAGGCAAAGAATGGTTAAGTGCAATGTTTGGTCCATACTTTTGTAGTGCAGAAGTGTGAACGCTAAAAGTATCAATCAAGAACAAAATTGAAGCATTGGAAATGTGGGTTCATAGATGAATACTGAAGATACCTTGGACAGCAAGGAAAACTAATGAAGTACTAAGGATCGTCAACAAAGATAGAGAACTGCTAAAGACTGTTAAACATCAAAAAATGTCTTATCTGGGACATATAGTAAGAGGAAGTCGATATAAAATATTACAACTGGTCCTTAAAGGCAAAATAGAGGGCCGTAGAGGTGTAGGAAGAAAACAAGTTTCTTGGTTAAAAAACATTCGTGAATGGACTCAGGTACCAAATGCAGGACAATTATTCCATATTGCAGAAGATCAAAAAGCCTTCGCAATGGTGATCGCCTACTTCAGATAATTCTGATATGGCACGCGAAGAAGAAGACAGTTCAGGTCTGTAGAATTACAACTATATTTAAATTAAGTATATTTAAATAGAATACTATTTTTTAATCCATTCCCCACAAACGATACATCTGGATATGTTTCATTAAATAGTTGAATTGAAGATAAGTATGAAACAGCTCAATACCACAGTAGTTCACAAGATTATTCTTTGGTGAAAGTAACAGTAACAGTTGACAGTAACTGAGACATTGTAAAAATTGTACTAGATTATTGATATAAAAGTCACTCACTAACATGTAGCAAAACAAAAAATTTACTAGCAAATTATTATATATCTTTGAGAAGACAATTTATATAATAAATATTTCCCCAAAGAACACACGCCTTTAGAACGATTAATATGTTACACTACAGATCTTTAAAAATATATAAGAACATAAAATCTAGACGTGATGTGGGAAATAATGAAAAACGGTTTAACATCATTATTAAAGAACCTAGATGATAATGTAGCATAAAAATCACATACATATATAAATATTGCCAGGATAAACATTCTTCAAATTTTTCAATTTCTTCATCTGTTTCCATTGTCACTACACATCGCTCTACTTCTTAAATTAATTATTAACAATAACAAATAACAACCAAATCATAACATGACATAATTTATTTATTTTTAAATCGGCAAAGTGTGTCAATGTCAAATTTTGAACTGGATTTGGATTTTAAAGACGCATGCATGACTAGAATAAGAAAGAAGTAGAAAATATCAGGCAACTTTTTGCGATTGAATATATTCAAAGAATATATATATCAAATAATTATTTAAAAAAATAGACTTCTGTGATTTATGATATGATATTATATATCAAATAATAAATAATTTAATTTTAATAGATACGGTTTCTTAAAGAATTAAAAAACCAAGTTTAAATAAATTTTGCAATTCATTATGGATATTAGGGTTAACATTAGTTTATCGTAAATATACATACGTAAGAATATACAGACTTCTTTCAATAGGTTTCTGATCATATTGTGGGTCTATTGTATGTTTCTGAAGTTGAGCTGGAGTCTGAAATAATTCTATTAATAACTGTTAACCAAGTTTTAATTATTATTACCTTTCCTGCTGTCGGTCTATCAAGCTGCAAACTTTCAAGCTCTTCATCGATTTTGTCTAGTTTTGTCTTTGACATTAAAAATATTTTATAATTTTGACACTAAAATAATTAAAAATAAATGTCATTATTCTAATATCACAGTCAGAATGCCATCTTTAAATGCCTCATGTACTATTTATGAATGATAACCAGATTTTTCAGGTGGATATTACTTAAATGATAGGTAAAAATATAAAAAAATCTTGGACAAATTAAATTCACTGGTGCTCTGTGCTTAAAATTTCAAATGGTTCAATGTCCTTTTCGTTTGTTTACTTCTTCTTTCTCTTGAGCATTGACGTCTATCATGATGTTAACCTTAATTTTTTATTTATTTAATATATTTTAAAAATTATAAAAATGATTTCAGAAACTGTTAATGGTAAAATATTCTTATTATTTATATATTTTTTATTCTAACGATATAATTATTTTTCAGAATCTGACATAAATATAAATATGCAATACCAAAATCTTAGTATATATGACAATGGTCCACCATTTGAAGTCTTTCAGAATGAAGAAACAACTAAAAACCCGAATATCGATGGGAAAGCCTTACGGATGATGGTACAGTTCTAAAATATATGTTTTTTAAAGGAGATATGAAATATATAAAACAAAAAAACAAACTATATTCAAGTATCTAAAAATTTGTTGTTTTAGCAAAAAATGGGGTACAAACAAGGATCTGGTTTAGGTAAAAGTGAACAAGGAATTACTAAAATTATAGATATAAACTATCAACATGGTAAAAGAGGTTTGGGACTAAAATTAAAACGTATTGAAGATACACTCAAAACCTGGGATTTCTCAATTGAGGTAGAGTTTGTTTTATATTAGAATAGTATGTGCCCTAACTTGTACCCTTTTAGTCAGTTTGTATTTTAAATTGCTACCTTCAGTTAAAAATTAATAGGACATCTTCCTCTTAGGGTGCCTGTCTGTTCCGAATGTTGGCGATCATTCTGGCTATGATGACTTTGTTGGTTGCTATACGAAATAGCTGTGTTGAGGTCCTTCTATACCATGCTCTCAGTTTAGCCAGGATATTCTTCTTCGTCCTGACTCCCTTTTTCCTTCAATTTTACAGGACATCTCCTTTTTCTACAGTTTTCAGGCTTAATCATTCACTCTAAAGTCACCATAAAATATGTCTGTTAATTTCTAGGACATGGTAGTAGAAATATAAAGCTGGTACAAATTAAACTACTTCTAAATGTCTTATACTCCTACTTCAACATGATTCACTGTTTAAACTAACTTAAGGATATTTGATTGTTGACTGACAGTTATCAAATATATGCATGTATGCACTCTGTACTGATTCCTATACCACCAACATAACAATTGCTACCTTTCAATTGAAGTTAAGCCATATATAGTTAGCATTAGAGTTTATTAACTTGTGCAGATAATAGAGGTTTTTTAATAGGATTTTTTTTTTATTTAAAGACAAAGTTGCATCCACCTAATGGTTATTAGTGATGGATCTGTACAATTTTACAAGAATAGGTATATTACATGGTTACAAAAAAGATTTTTTTCTACAAAATAGTACTAAAAAAAGTCAGCAATTTTATACAAAAAAAAAGTTAAATCTTATGGAACACATCAATAGCTTGTAAATAATCTATTAAGTTCTTTGAATAACTACCCACATGAGAAGGAATCCATATGAAGTCAACTGTTCTTCCTTTTTCTTGACATATGTGAAGTTTGATGTGTGAAGTTCTGATTTGATCACTTTTTCAATTGGGTGTTTAGGATATACTTGTTGAATTGAAGTAATCTAACTCAGAGAATCAGAAAGAATCACCACTTTGACTATATTGGTATTATTAATAGACTTAATTGCATGATAAAGAGCGAATAATTTGGCTGTGTATATGCTACAGTGGGGAGATAGTTGAAATAGATATTTACTTGAATTGATCACAAAAGCGGTACCAACTTTATAGGAAATTGTTTGTCAAGAATATAATAAAGTTAGCTTTAGATTCTTTGTTAAACGTGGTGCACAGCATATCACATATTCTTCATTTTTCATTGACTTATATGTTATAACAAAAATAACATGTAGTTTTATTCAAATCTATATCACTATCTTAAAAAATAGATTTAGTCTATAGCATGTAGAATGTTAGCGGATTGTCTCTCATTACCCAGTAACATCACAAATCACCTTGTATTTATATGTTAACTATTTATCTGTATATCTGTATTTATCTGTATTTATTTACAGCTTTAGCTGAAATATTTATAGTCTTAATAATATATTAGAAATAGGGTTTTTTAATAAATTGACATTTGAATATTTCTCCTTATATTTACTTTATTCTATACAATAAACCAAAAAAAAATAGTTTTAAATACCTTTTATAAATGTTTCTAGGAGGTGAATGTAAAGGAAAATTTGATTTGGCTAAAAAATGAAGAAGCTGCAGATTATACGGAGGAAGAAATGTTCACATGGATAAAAGAAGGAGAGCATATTACAGATATTAAAACCCAATCTGAATTTTGTGATGGAGAAATTCTTAATAATGTTGTGAATGCAAAAGTATGTTCAACAAAATATTTTATTGTGTTTAAATTTAGGGTGGTTTGATATTAATTTAGCCTTCTATAGTTTTAGTACGACACTAAACTATAGTTTAGTGTCGTACCGTGTGTCTGCGACTGGAACGAGGGGGTTTTAGTGGGTAGGCAGTTGCGTTCTCACGATTGATTCGCTCGGCATTACGGGTGTCTGCATTGGGAAAACGCACTGAATCCCACACACCAGGGTAGAGGGTAGCACACCAGCTCTTTGGGGTACTACAGTCTACTCTGACAGTCTTTTGAAGATTTCCTTCTCAAAAAAAAAAAGATATAGTTTAGTGAGTGAGAATGACAGCCTTGCAATTTTTAACAAATAGACAACAATTAATTGTTTGAACACCATTTGAGTTTTTTGAAAAACAGTAAAAATAAAATGTTTTTAAGTTATTAAGTACCTCCATTTGAAAGGAAAAAGCTATGTAGAAATCAAAACTATGTTGTTTATGCCAAGTGTGCACCATCAATAACAACAATTTACTTTAAATCTGAATTTTTTTGTAGTTACTAGAGTGTGCTGGATAATGAACATTCAGGTTCCATAGAATTTTCAACTACCTTAAAAATCATCAACAAAGTCCATAATAGATCATGGTACATACCCACATAACATCATGAGAAAAAGTGCAGATTGTGCAGATGTAATTTTATCAGGCTGAAGATGATATGACACAACACTTTCTGTTGAACTGCCTAAGATGGATAGGATAAGTCTTAAAACATTTGAGCATTATCAACTTGAGTCCTACTACTTCATAGAAGTGTCAAGAAGGCCATAATAGAATTTTTTAGAAAGGCTGGGCTCATAGGACAACTTTAACCTAGGGATGAGCCACAATGCATCTCTTAAGTTAAGTGCAAGGATGTTTAAGTGCCCACTCATATTGAACCATAGACATATAGTATAATTAGACTGAGTGCTGCAATACAGGCCCGTTCCCCTAGTGCGACACAGAAAATTGATACAAACCAATTCCTGCATATCTTTCTAGTGGACCATGTTTATTGACTATGTGATCCTCTCATGGGTCATTTAGGTCACATGGATGATAAACCTGGCCCGTCAAAAAGAGATGCAGGTACTGCTTTGTGTCTGTTTTCTCTGTCACACTGGGGAAATGAGCCTGTATTGCCGCACTCAGTCTATTGATAATATATGTCTAAATATTGAACCTAACACAAACATTTGGATATAAAAAAGCTATCTGCATAATTGATGTTGCAATCATTCATTATCAACTAATAAGGGACATATCTATTGGATTAGCAGAATCCTTTTTTCGTAAAAAAAAGAAAAGTAAATGAAATGTGGGTGTATTTCTACATGTTTATGACAAAGGAACAGTCAGAAAAACTGATGATATATATTTATAGAGATATAGAAGGGACAATTATGTCAGCTCATTCAAATTAACAGTACCAATGGAAGACTGATCTAGGTATTTATGTTCTGTTAGTGACTCTTAACCATTTTCTGGATCTGCAGAACCAGGAAAGATACCCTTAAAATCACACATACCATCCATGAAACAAATTTCATCCTAAGGATTCTACATGCAAATAAACAATCATTGAGGTATAAAGTAGATGATAATCTTTTGTTCTTATTTAGCGGAACATTGACTAAATGAAGGCACCGGACTCCAACTTTGGTTGGAGGAGAAACATGTATTTTTGTTAAGGAGAATTTGAATTTTAATGTGTTTAATTGTAATGTGAGTTTTAACTCAGAAAAGTGTATTAAAAACTGTATGATTGTTTTAAAGAAGGTAAATCTGGTCATTTTGACACCTTTTTAGCCATCTTTAGATGGACTTCTGGAAAGTGTTGGTATGAGCATACCCATTGTCTTGGCAGGTAACTTAATGTGATTTTGTACAAATGACATCAACACAACTAGAGTACAAAATGTACTGGGAGGTTACAATTTAAATTAAACAATTTTTGAGCCGACTCGAAGAGAAACCTGTCTTGATAACATTTTGCCAGATTCTGAATACCGTGTGAAATGACTGGAGTATGTGAACTGGGTTTCTATCGCCACAAAGGACAACAGGTTGGTTTTTCATTGCATCAATTTGATAAACATTAGGAAGAAACAATTACTTTTAGGTCAATTACACATAGAGATCTCTTTTTGTTTCATAATAGAATGTCTGAAATAAATTTTAACTTTGTGAATGTGAGAGGATGTGAATGAGAAGTTTAACAGATTTATGAAATTTCTGGAAGAAACTTATTTGGGATCTTTCCCAGAGGAAAGGTATAAGGTAAGGGCCAATCAAACTAATAAAATTAATTGGTTTAACAAAATATTAGTCAACCTTCTAATATCAGTCCAAATATATTTAACGATTACTCTTCACAGATAGCATCCAACTTGAATCCAATCTGAATTAAATATAAAAAACTCAATTAAATAAGATGTAAAAAATATATTGATTAAATTTTCTTTCTCAGAAGTCACTTTCAACATAGTACAGAATATTAATTAATAATTTAAAACATAAAAAACAGCCGTTATAATCTTGGAATGAATGTAAAGTTGATAAAAACAATAAAAAATATAATAATTCCACTTACTAGCTAATTAATATTTGATGCAGATAATAATATGTTTTTTCATCTGTCCTTAAAAAAGCAATAATTTGTCCAATCTTCATCGCATTTGTGGACGTCCTAAGGGCCTTCTCCCTGTCGGGACTTCTGCCCAGATTAACTTGGTAAGGCGGTTATTAGGGAGCCTATGAACATGGCCAGCCCATCTTAGACGTTGGGATTTAATCTCTTGGACTACGTCGCTAGCACTATACATTTGTTTGACCTCGGCATTTGTTCTCATTCGGTATTGGTTAGTATTCGGATCGTGATAGGGACCGAAGATCTTTCTGAGGATTTTTCTCTCAAAACATCTGAGTTTACTTTTCATTGCTTTTGTCAGCGTCCACGTCTCACACCCATACATGAGCACCGGTCTAATTACTGTTTTATATATCCTGATTTTTGATGTTCGTGTTAGGCTCTTGGATTTAATAGTGTTGTGGAGGCTATACATACATCTGTTTGCTGCCTGAATTCTCCCTTTTATCTCTTCCGTTATATCGTTATCTGTGGCGATAGTCACTCCGAGATATTTAAAACTCTCCACTCTTTCAAAGTTATAGGGGTCTATTGTTACATTTTGTCCTATTCTATCTCGTCTCTTTTGTCTGTTAATGCACATATATTTGGTTTTCTCTTCATTGACCCTTAGACCGGTATTTTTTGCCTCTCTCTAATTTATTGAAGGTTTCTTTTACATTGGTGAGGGTATTTCCTACAATGTCAATGTCATCCGCGTATGCTAGTAGTAATTTTGGTCCATTTACTGTCAGTAGTTCTGTTCTAATTTGTGCGGTTCTTACTACTTTTTCCACGATTATATTAAAAAGAAGAGGTGACAGCGCGTCTCCTTGTTTCAGTCCACTGTTTATTTCAAACGACTCTGAGAGCTTGTTACCTATCCGAACTCTAGATCTACAGCCATTTACACAAACTTTAACGAGCTGGATAAGTTTTTTTGGAACTGAAAGTTCTGCCATTGCATTCCACATCTGATCCCTTTTAATGCTGTCGTATGCTTGTCGGAAATCTATGAAGAGATTATGAATGGTTCTATTGAATTCCCATCCTTTTTCAAGCAGCTGCCTGAGAATAAAAATCTGATCTATGGTCGATCTATTTTTTCTGAATCCGGCTTGGTATTCCCCTATGAAATTTTCTACAAAAGGTGTTAGTCTACTTAATAGGATGTTCGATAAGATTTTGTACGCCGTATTAAGTAGGGAGATTATAGTTAGAGCACTTGGTTTTGTCTCTTTTTTTATGGATAGGAATTATTACACTTTCGTGCCATTTTGTTGGTATTTTCTCTTCGTTCCATATAAGTGTTATTAGTTTGTGTAATTGTCTATGTAAAGTTTCTCCTCCGTACTTAAGAAATTCGGCTGGTATATTGTCAGAGCCTGGAGCTTTTGCGTTCTTCAATTTGTTAATTGCTTGCAATGTTTCGTCTACTTTTGGGTACTCTACCGGTAGGTCCACCCCAAGGTATATATCCTCTCCATGTTCTTCATCTTGGTGTATATTAAGTGGTGTATAATCTTGGCCAGTCTCACAGCTGCCAATTATTTCGAAAATTTTGGAAAAGTTCATGGCATTACAAATAGTAGATTTTTTTGAGGTCAATGGTATGTTTTCTGAATGTCAAGTTAGTTTTCGCAAAAATAAAAATACAGTTTTAGATATTTTAAACCCCATATTGTATATTACAGAGTCATTTCATAAGCTTTAATTTAACTAAAAGGCTTTTGACTTGGTCAGTCATGAAATCCTCCTACAGAAATTAGAAAAATATAACTTTTTTCCGAGATTATTGAGCTCATAAAATCATATTTGAAAGATAGGGTGCAGGTTTGAGGGTTGGTGGGGTGTTGCTGGCAAGAAGTGTGTTATATATTGAAGTACCTCAGGGTTCAAAACTGGGCCCTATTTTATTGATTTATATTAACGATCTTCCGAACATTGCACATAAGGCTAAGCATAAACTCTTTGCAGATGACACTATGGTCGCCCTTTCAGCTGATAATATTGATGATATGCTCGGAGGGCACGTCACATGTCTAAACAAAGGTTTGCTATACTTCATCTAATTTACTTACCGTTGCACGTCATTATCATTGACAGAGATCGAAGTTGACATAGTTGCCAAAGTATAAAAAAATCCTGACTACATTTTAAATTATTAAATAGCTCACATAATTATTGCAAAAGTATTACCATCTCTTTACAACGACTATTTAAATTCTTACATGACATTTTTGAAATAAAACACCTTTCAAAATTCGTCGCACTGGAGACTATTTGTACTATGTATCACTCCATATTCCACTCACATCTTTTATACTCTTTCCTTGTTTGGGG